ATATATTAAATATTACTTTGAGTTTAGTTCTGCATAGATATTAACAAGCTTATATAGGCAGATTTATTACTTGATTGTTTGTTTAATTAGTTAAGGGACTGAAAATCAACGTTACTCCAAATCATTTAAGCTAAGACGTTTCTTATAATCCGTTTCCCTATTCTGACATAGGCTTAGAATTCTCCTTTTCTTATTTCCTTTGTAAACTTCAATTAGTGCTAATGCTTGACCTGGGAATAGCTCAGATAGCAGATCAAGATTTATATATTCATTTAATTTTTTTTTCATCCTCTTCTCCTTTTATTTCTTATCCTTGCCATTTGATGAATAATTTTCTTTTTGCTCATCTTGTTCAAGCTTAAGCTCGATTTTTTACGACTGAACTTATTTTTTTTGTCTTTTCTTGTGCGGCTTTTCTTTTCTGGTTTTCTGCATTTTTATATTTTCTATGGCTAATCATACTTGGGCTTCTTTATTTTCTTGTTTTTTTTTTTAAGCAAGCTGCATTTATCAGCCAAACAAAAGTTTTGCAGTGAAAAGTTTTGTTGGGTCGCAGCTTCCACTTTCTCGTTGAACGAAAAAAAGGGAAGAGAACGCACATTAAGGCACACCCAAACACACATACACATATACACACACACGCACAAGGAAAAGGAAAATCGATTTAAACAGATGATTTGACAGCAGGCGCCTTTCAGTTATGTATCTATATACATATTTTGCTAGCTGAGCCCGTTTCACAGACAGTTAAGATGTCTGCACAGGGACAACAGCTACCGAGAACGTCCCTCAGTTGTCCTTCCGCCTGCTTTGCCCTGCCTTCTCCTGCTCATGCTCCGTTTTTGTTTTCTTTTTTCTTTTGCCAAATTTTTGCTCAACTTTCAGGCAACAGCTGTAGCAGCAGCAGCTTGGCCCGGGCCAACTGTCGCAGCTGGGGTGTCGCTAGTGGGCGTGGGCGTGGACCTTTCGGCTGGTGTGCTGTCATTAACAGGAGCCTGGAAACCAGCATTGCGTGGCTTGATGCGCATTTAATGAGCAGATGATTAGCATTTTTATGTGCGCTTCTGGAAGAATCCTTTATATAGTTTTGCATCTGGGAAGTCAGGGAAGTTAATTGAACTGTCAGATGCTGAGCATTTAGTTTATTGGCCGTACATTTGCTAATAGTTCTCGGTCAGACAGTGGCTGTTGGCAGTCGGCGCACGGCGATAGCTGCGATAACCAAATGCGCCACGTGCCACATCAACGATTTATTTCGCTGTAGCTTAGCCGATGGGGGAGTTGGCCTTGTCTTGGTCTACCTGGCTTACCAAATTGATGATGCCCATGCCGAAGGACAAGCTGATTTATGAACTGTAACTGGAAGTGGAACAATGAGTGTTAAAGAAAAGATAAAAACAGCAAGGCGTTCAAGGGTATTTAGTGAAGAAGCGAGTTTGATCTGCTTTGTCCTATAATTCACATGGAATTTTATATAATGAAAGCTTTATTTACATACATATGTATGTATGTATATAATATGTGGTTATTGGCTCGGTGCTCAGTGAAATAATGCAGCGAAAACAGATGTGAACAGCATGGCGTTTCAGGTATTTGTAAAGAATGCTATACAGATAAACTGTTACAGCATTATAGCTGTGCAGGGTAGACTGCGGTATACAAAGTTTTAGTCTGATATCAATGGCTAAGAATATATTTCATTTAGATTTTTACTGACTTTATTGTAAAAATGACTAATTCGAATCTTTTAGCACCCATTATTATTAGTATATTCCGCATAAATCTAATTTTACATGGTCCACATTCTATTTAACTAGAGGATATCTTCTAGCGAGCCTGTGGCTGAGCTACTTTACATCTGTTTTTCATGCTAACAAAATAGGGATACGCTTTGAGCTGGATTTGCTATTGTGTGGGCTCTAAAAGGTAATTATTATGTACACAATATATAAATAGAACATCCCAAAAAGTTGGCAAATCCTTGAACTAATTTCGACTTCCCGCATATGTATATGTATATACACACACACAAAATTACGCAGACTTAGTCAGGAAAGGCCTGCAACAAAATAAATGAAAATGAACGGAAATGTGAAAAGCCATCAGGTTCCATTATCTCGCTCTTCCTCACTCTACCTCATCTCCCTCTCTCTCAATCTCTCTCTCTCTCTCTCTTTCTCTCTTTGTCGCTGGCAGTGTGTGTAAATCAGTGTAAAGCAAAGTTCGAACTATTAAGTCCACAATGCCGAGCCCCACAACCGCACACAGATATCCACCACGCCCCTGGCGCCCTTGTCCACAGTCAGATACCACATGCATCCTGCCCGGCGCAGCAAATGAAATTAAGTCGTCCTCTGGCCCGTTCCCCTCCCACTTGTTGGGAAATGCCCTGCATAATGCAATTAAAAAACATTTTCTTTTGTTTTGGTTTTCCTTTTGCTTCCTCTTTTTTTATTATTTTGTTTTATTACTGTGCGCAAAAAGAAAAATCAATAAGGGAAACAACGAACAACAACTAAAAACAAGCTGTGCAAAGCCACTGATATGCCAAGGTATGCACGACTTTGATATATCCTGTCTCATTTGAAATATGAGAATAGATTAGCTGATACATAAATTCATAAATTCAATATTAATCAGGTATTCAGCTACATCCACCATATTCTGTATTATAAATATACCCAAGGCAACTGCAACTACGTGCTTTTAAAATCAATCTGGCACAAGGATAATAATATGCGAAGCAGCCACGGCTTTTAAATGCGTAGCTCGCTGAAAGTGTGTGTGTGTGCGCACGGGTGTGGGTGTGGGCGTGGCAAGCTTTTACCGCATAAATGATGCACAGAATGGAACTTTTGCATTATGAATGAGAGCAAGAGATGACAAGAAAGAAATCTCAACAACAGCTCACATTCGCGTTGTGGGAGAAAAGCAGAAACAAGAAATGACCTTCGGTTGATGCTTCGAACCGAGTTCCAGATCCATAATATATATTCTCTTTATATGTACATATGTATATGTATGTATGCAATTGTAATTTAATCAATTGCAGGCAAGTTAGATGAAAGCTTTTCATG